TTTTTTCAATTTGATCTATTTCTCTGAAATACAGCTTATCAAGAAGAATTAGTGAAACAAAGGCAACTAGAAAGAAGTGTCGAAAAAGAGTCAGAGTTGGGAAAGATAGATGAAACATCAGGACGGTACCCAATTCAACATAACCTGTTAATCGCTTAGCTAAGTTAGTCAAAAAATGGTCCCAATGGTCAGGTTTAGTCCGGGAACAGTTTCCCAGATACTCACACAGGCCACACTTAAAGATCTCAAAAGCCTCCCTTTCATGAAAAGAATTTTTCGGAACAATCTCGGAAAAAAGAAGAAATCACGGGTGGTTTTCATTGCAAGAAAAAAGGGTTCCTCATCGACCTTATGATTTTTTACTGGTATTTTTTATTTTTTGCTGATAAATTCTGTACTATTGTGATATGCCATTCTGGTCCTCGGTAGGTGTATCAAAATAGTGCCCCCCACCTAACATTGAAGATGGCAGGGTGGAAGGGAGCGTTTTCTTCTCCATGACTTTTCAAAATTTATCGACAGCGAGCCCCTCACCTGACAAGAGNAATCATTCTGCTCACTTGATCAAGAAGATACTCCTTGTGAATATCTTCCTGAAATGCAGGCATTCTAGACGATTTTGAATTTGAAGAAAATCGGGCTTACGAATAGTAGAGACAATAGCAGATGAATGATCCATTATGGGATCGTCACTTCTAAAATTCGTTATTTTCAGGGAAGATCATAGAACATCGTGCGCCTGCACGACTAAGGATCGATGTAATGACCCAACTTCACCGATTTCTGATTTCACCTTCACCGAGAAACCAATACTCAAAGGATATCAATTTACTCCAATGGTCGGTGGAGGAGGATCATCAGAAAGTAAGCCCTTTAATTATCTGTATAGGTGCAAATCAGCTGAGACTAAAAAGAAAAAAATGAAAAAAACATCCTGACATAAAAATATCTAATCAGGTACCATAAATAAACTACATGGCACTTGGTGAACCAGCCTTCGAAATGAAAACAGCAGAATAAGATAATTACGATTAGACATTAGAGATAGACGACCAAGAAATAATTAGGTTGTGAAATGTTGGGCAGTTACGGTGATGTAAACAATGGAAATAAACAAATCACGTAGATAAGTGAACGTATGAAATAAATCCAAGGGAAAGAAAACAAACAAACAAACAAACAAATCCAAGCCTAAAAAAGAAATGGAATAGATGAGCAAATAGTCGAAAAGACTGTTCACTCGTCACAGGGAGACGGAATGTTTTGATCACAATAAATCGAAGGCGATAGGCAGAAAAACACACCGAATAGCAGATGATAGGATAATTGGCCTTCGAGACAAAGGCAGTGGGTTAAAATAATCTAGAATTAGGTCTATTGAT